GCAATTCGCCAGCCGACTCTGTTGAACTTGGTCGTCTGTTGTCTTGGCCTTGTCTTCATGGCAAGTCGGTTGGTTTTGGCCCAGTGGGGAGAACCGTTCGCCACCGGATTCCAGTGACAATTGATGGCTAAATAAATGGCAATTAACTGACATTGATGTAGCGGACTTTGGAGTGTACAACTACTTTGCGGTAATAAATCAAAGGCATCGCTCTCTATTCATCTTTTTTTTGGGCCGACTCATTTGATAAAAGCCAACTTTGACGCAGGTGTGCATTTGAGCTTTTCGATATTCCCCTAAAGGTTCTAGGTATATATTTTACAGAGGGAATTATTACTTATATTTATTGATAACAAATTGAAAATTTTGATCAAACAAGGGAAATGAGTAATGGAGACTTGAATTAAGAAAAGCTCTTAAAAGTTTTATGCGATACTAAATACTTATCCAACTTTTTTTCCCCATCATTACTTGTGGGCAATTTTTTCTCGGTGTGGCCTTGGCTCCATTTTAATCTGGTAAGTGAATGTGTCAACTTTTTCTCACTTTGTTTGTTTGCCCGGCACCACGCAAACCCCAGGGACACTGGTCGCAACAAAGGCAGCTGGAGAACAACCAACCAACCGACATCCAACAACCGACAACCAACAATGGGTCTCATTTGGGTTGTTTTTCTTGGCTCACGACGTTCTATTATTCATTTCAATTTGCGTGTGTGTGAGTGGGGCGAAGGTCCTTCAAAGGTGCGGGTAGATTTTTCATCAGAGTTCATAGTCCAGCCCACAAAGGTCAGTGAAAGTTTGTTATTCTTTTTCGCCAGCTTGTTTATTAGATTGTACCTACGACCCACTTCCCTTTTCCCATTTGCCATTTGCCACTTGCCCATTTCCCATTTCCCCTCCAGCTGACACATCAAAAACTTGCCAGCGGCTGTTCCTGACAAGTCGATGTGAAGTGGCATCGATTCCCGTCGAGGCCGAGGGGATTTGTCAGGGAGACTGAAACCGAAACTGAAACTGGGGCTGAAACTCATAAACACGACAAAGTTTTTCGCCTTCTTTTGTTCAGAGGGAAGCTGTCGAAGTTGATCCGCAAAAGGGGAGTACATTATGGCCAACTGGCTGCTGATCCAAACCCCCAAATAAGCCAAGCTCATAAAACTTAAATATATTTCAGGGGGTGGGTGAAGGCCTTCAGCTAATGCCTTTCTAATGGTTATCCTGTTGGAGAAACAAAGCAACGAACGAACGGTCCATCAATTGTGGGCAAGTAAATATTTTGTTAACATAGTTGCATAAATCACAGTCAATTTTTCATATCGTGCGATAATTTCAGGCGGCACACACACATGACTCCCTGACTCCCACGGCAAACATTTACTGGCCCCGGTAATGATGGCGTTGGGTAAATAAACTGTCAGTTTGCATGACTGCCGCCATCACTCATACGCCCCCGTGGCTGACTGGCTGAGATTGTTCGCCCACCGAATTGCCACGCTCGTACGCACTTCTGGTAAACATCAGGCAGTCGCAACAACCACAGTAACATTAACAACAGTAACAACAACAACAACAACAACAGCTGATGGTGCCAGACAACAAATGAAGTTTGGCGCTTCCGTTTCCGGTCCCTCCGCTCCCTTCCCCTTTGACCCGGGTCATATGCAATCATAATGAAGACATTTCCGGCTCATTGAACAGCCGAGCAAACGGCTACAACAACTCGCTCTAATGAAGCCATAAGCACTGCACATTGGACGGGCTGATTTGCGGAACGGTTCAGTGCTCATTTAAATATCTCGGGGTTTCTTTTTGGCAATCGGTTGCTTAACAGTCGATTTGATTGCTCATCACTAGGTGGTAATTGGTTGTGGGGTGGCAAAAGGTTTACTGTTCCAAATAAAAGATAAGCATTAAAGGGAAACCTGAAATGCTTTAAGAGGTATAATTTAAATAACCAACCCAAAAGCTTCACTTTGGCTTCTCTAAAATATGTTGTTTTGATCAGGAATAGCTAGAAAGAAATAGGCAATTGAAGCCACAAAAATAAACCAATTTTGTGTGCTCGAACCAAACAACAATTGGCTGGCCATTGTCAGCTCCGCTGATTTCGTATGCAGATTGAAAAGTGTTCGATGCAGACCCGCCGGACTCACTCGTCGGCAATTGTTGCAATTCCTCGGCAGCAGACAATAAATATCTGCGCAGGCTTCCGGAGAAGCACTTTAAAATTGATTCTGCTGAGCTCTCCCCTAAGCGCTCCCAAGTGCAGGCTACCTATTTGGATCCTCCTTCTTCACTTCAGTTTCCTTCCCAGACGTCCATGTCCTGGCCCAAACAAGACACGACAAATTGCCAGGAGAATGCCTTAGGAAAGTGCTACCGAAATGGGAGAAAATGGGGGAAAATGGGCATGAGGCGTCGGAGAAAAAGCCTGGGAAAACTTATGCGCATTGGGCACAAGTCAAATTGCATTTAAAGTGACAAATGTGCCTGGCTTGTAAGTGGGTGGCTTGCAGGGACAGAAATTGACCAAACACGTGCTAAAAATATTTCCTTGGCAAACAAAAACCAAATGCCAGTTAACTTCCCTTCTTCATTCATTTCTGCAGCAAAACAAGGAGCACAGAATGGACCCCCAAAGGAAGCGAAAGCATTTTTCATGCTTTGGTCAACTACGCCCACACGCCCACACTCACATACGCCTGTGGATTTGGGGGCGTGGTCACTGGCAGTGCTGACCCGGCATTAGAATTTATCGCTGTCAGCACTTGGTGGGGCAAAAAAGGAAAGGCGGCGACGAAGTCCTGCTGCTACTGGGTTTTCCTTTATTTTTTTCCGATTTCTTTTCTTTTTTTTTTTGGTTTACAGGGGAAATGGAAAGCGGGGGGGCCAGGAAAAACTGTCGCTCCATGCGGTATCCAAAGTGGGCGGCATCGAAACGTGCCCATCCCCACTGCATGTGACATGTGAGTTGGGGAATTCGCCGGGTAGGAAGAACCGAAGCAAAAAGCCAGAACCTGGGCACCGAGCAGCACCTTGAGGGCTCTTGATTAATGGCATTGTTCGCCTGTCTGTCAGCGAGATCCATTTGGGCCGACATTGATAAGGCGCGGCGGCTTAAAGCCAACTTGGCTCGTAAGTATCCGCATTAAGCACCAATTAGCTGGCGCCCAACGCGGAGCATTCATTCAGACCATTCTGCGGCCCCATAATTTGGCTTATTAACAGTGCGTGCAGCGTGTACTGGCAATTGTTATTGTTATTGCCAACAAAGTTGCACACAATACACAGTCTACAGTACACAGTTAACAGTACACAGTATACACAGTGTGCTGCAGCACAATTTCAATGGCAAAATAGTAATGGCAATGGCAATGGCAACGGGAGCGGATGAAGAGCCAAAATGATGCTGGAAATTAACTCAGAAATCTGTTGTGAGCTCATTGTCAGCAGCCGAAAGTTTTCTCGGGCACGAGAAAAGTTGGCCCAGCAACTTTGCGAATGCAAAAACTTTTCGGCGAGAATTACAATCGTGATAAAAATTATGAAAATATTTGGAGTGCTCAAGTTCTTGAGCGACAACTTGGCGTGGCCACGCTGACTGGCTGCCATTCTGCAAAATGTTCGCAAATCAAATCCAATTAAATAACACAAATGCTCAGGAATAGGAAAATTCTGTTTTTTACCGCACCCTTCCCGCTATTAAATTATTATTACATTTTCAGCGCAAAAAAAAAGGGGGAGAGAGAGAAAAGCTGAAAGAGCAGTCGCCATGCAAAACAGCATTCCACCTGCTCGAATATCGGAGCAATGTTCGATGGAAAAACTTTTGTAATCAAACTATTTGAATTGAACGAGCACACACATACACACACACACACTCATAGGGAATTCGTACAACTATTTTGTATTGGAGAAACTCATAAATCTAAAAGAAAACTATTGCGGCCCAGAGAATTGGGACAGAAAGTGGAACTGCAACTGCCTTTGGGCTGCGAAATCGAGGACTCGAGAAGGGAAACAATACCAAAGTTATTTACTTATTTATGCAGTGTGCATATTGAACTCTCGTTGCCCTCGTCAAAATGCAGCTGTCTTGGCTCCCCCCACTTTTTGCCCCACTTTTCCTGCCCGGAGTCCTGGATGGAAAAGTGGAAGACAGAGCTCAAGGGCCACCGAACGCACTTAGCGGCCAATTAGAAAAGTTCTCGAGGAAATCTCAGGCCGGCAGGAGATGCAACTCGAGATTTTCCGGCCATATCACGCCGTCTGGATGTCTGTCGCAATGTTTAAACGTCTGCTGTAAATATTTGATGCCTAATTGAATCATTCATTCGGCTGCCGTTGCTCATTGCCCCGCCCCCTTACGCCCCTTTCGCCTTTGCCCCGCCCTTTATCCCTTTCCTCCTCGAACGAGTTGATTTGAATAAATTTGAAATTCTGCTGAGTCTGGCTGTGCCAGCATTTAGTCGTCTGTCTGTCAGTCGCCCATCGCAAATTCGTTGGCTCTGCATCTCTGCAGTTGCATTCGAGTTCGCCTTTCGCCAAGGGGGCGTGGTCGGTGCGAGGGAGGGGGCGTGGCATTGACTTGGCGTGGCATACTTTGCGGCGCATTATGCGGCGGAACGAGAGAATTGTGCAAATTAGCGGAGCGCGTTTGCACTTGCTCGGCACTCATCAATATTTGCACTTCAATTAGTGACGATATGACAAACAGTGCTTACATATCCGCGCATTTTCCAGGCGCACATTCCACGTTCGATTCGATTAGCGATGAATGCTACTGAACAGACCGAAAACGCTCCATTCAGAATAATTAACCTATTTTGCAACAAGGAAATTTGTATTGTGTACGATTCTTGGAACGCGGGTTCATAAACAAAATGTTGACTTGCAACATGGGGCTTTCAGTCAATCTCAATCCGAGTTCGTTGATAAGCCGCTGAATTACAGATAATAACCGATGAGCTTTCAGTATACTTGAGTTCTTTGGTTGATATGGCTGGGATCGCTGTACTGCTCGCTGTTTTTAAGATTGTTTTGATCCTCCAAAGATGTATGGCTCAACTCCTAGAACCGAATTGCGGCCTCACTGGAATAACCAACAAAATAATGGGCGGCCAGAATGCTGAACATGGGGCAAATCCTTGGATGGCTTACATTTACAAGATCACAAAACAAAATGCAACTGAGTTTGTATGTGGAGGAACTCTGATTCATAAAGGTAAGTTAAAGTATCTGATATGTGGTAATAATGAGCAATTAAATCTAATTTGCAGAATTTATTTTGACCGCCGCTCACTGCATTTTAAATGACGATATACTGTAAGTTTATTTTTAAAATCAAGAAGTGATGATTTTGCATTTCTTACATTTTCTTCAGTGCCGTGCGTTTGGGAGCATATTTTTCGCAGAGAAGATCAGGTACTTCCAAAGATTTTGCAGTTACCAATGCCTTTCGCAATAAACTATACTCCTACGCGGAACAGAATCACGATATTGGAATGCTAAAGCTGAGTCCAGAGGTGCAGTTTAATGGTACGTTGGATTGATTTTTATTTAAAAACCTCATTTGTAAGTTATTTTCCAACAGCTTTCATCAAACCTGTCTGCATCTTCAGGGATCCCATACAATTTCCCCAAGTGAGCACCTACAAGGCAACTGGTTGGGGGACCACGGAGTTCGAGAAAGTTGCGAGGGTTTTGCAAACATTGGAGGTCAACGACCTGGACGCCACCGAATGTTATAATGCACTTTGGTTCAGGGTAACCGAGAAGCAAATCTGCGCAGGCCATCCTGTTGGAGACACCTGTACAGGTGACTCCGGAGGTCCTTTGGTTCAACAGGTTAATGTCAATGGCATTCAGAGATACGTTCAGTTTGGAATAGTTAGTTTTGGAGGTAGTGAATGCCGAAGTGCGGGAGTTTATACAAGAGTATCTAGCTATATTGACTGGATTCTAAGGGTTGTGAATAATTATGCGACGCACAAGCGAATTAATCTCCAATTTCGAACAAGGACACTAATTTAACTTTTCTAAACTTGTAACGCAAGTAAATAATACAAGAGTTGAAAGTTCCTACAAATATTCTCCACAAACTTAAACGAACTTCTGGAACTTTAGTGGTTAATTTAAGATAAGTGATAAACCATAAGTTAATTAAATACAGAATTTGTTCGTAAAATTTAATAAAGCAATCCATATATATTTTCTCCAAGTGGGTTTAGTAAATTGCAGCTAGAAATTTCTCATAATTCAAATTTTTATTGCCGGCCGGATGGTCGAAACTTTGTCCATTTCCTAAGCGCTGAGCTGCAAAAGTAACAAGTTTTTTGGGCCTTGCTTTTGTCCAGGCTCATTACCGTATTGCGTTCCCCATTCTGAACCAAACCTCCTCCCCCATCCCCTCCCACTTCCCCTCCCCATTTGACCTTCCCGAAAGGCAGGCTGCCACTTGCCACTTGCCGCTGGCTGCTTGTTTGTGCCGCAAATGAACGGAAATGGTGAAACTTTTAATTGAAACCATAAATTTTGCGTGGTTTCTGTGCCCACGGAATTTGTCGTACTCCGCCTCCATTTCGTGTTACCCCGAGGATTCTGGATTCTGGCCACCTTCACCTTGTTGAGAAGTGCAATTAGCGCTGTCCTGGAAGAGGCTTATTCCCTGGCCTGCACTTTTTACCAACCGACCAACCAGCAAGCCAACCAACCAACCTACCAACCAACCATCCAGGTAAGATGCTTAAATTGCCACCGAAACTTTGCAAGAGAAGCAGATCCAGATTCGTTAACTTCGCTTGACACAATCGACGGTGTATTTGTGCACCGGAAATGGCGAATGATTAAAATGGGCGTGCCATAATTTCCGCTTTTCTCCGGCGCACGGCGAACGGGAAATTGTCGAGATGGGAGCTTCTAATTGAAAAGGACGAAGCCACCGAAGAGACGCTCCCGGTTTCCACAACAAGTTGTTGCCACAGACCCTCGTATCATCCACATCCCCAGCCACTTCACCATCGTCATCCATCCAACGTTCGACGGGCACATTTCAAAATTCAATTTCCTGCACTTAAATGGCTTGGCAGTTACTTTGGAGACCAACTTTACCATCAAATATATATTGGTACATTTTGCTATTGAGCCCGCTGATTGATCGCAGATGGGAGCACGTGGCGAGTTTAATTTATTTCGATGTAATTTGAAGCCAATGAGCACATGTGACGGAATTTCATTTCAATTAGTGTTAAGGCTGGTAATTCAAAACTGATTGCTGAAAATATTACAATTGTTTTAATGAAAAATAATCAATTTTAAGGGAATAGAAATACATCAATTTAATTTATTTCCAGGTTATCAAAAATATATGTTAATGCATTCCTTCTATATTCTTCTCTATTAAAAATAGAATTTTAAATCTCTTTAGTGCTGTAAGATAATACAAACCATGTTATAAAAATTTCCATTTGTGGGCTTTAAACAGCAAACTTCAATCAAACGTATGTGTGTTTTTGGACCATCGCGAGAATATTTGGGACTGGCTAACATTTCAAATGTCTGACTCCACAGCCGGAAAAGTTCCCCTCGGTTTCTGTGTGCCACTTTCGATATTGATTTTGTTTGGCATAAATATGCTATGTTTGCTCATTTTTGCTGCCACTGTTGTGGCTGCCACTTCCACTCTGGTTACGTTTTTATTATTTCTCCATCTTTTTTTGCCAGTCGAGCAGCGTGCGGTGCTCCGCCCCTTGTGGCAATATTTTTAATTTGCCAAATGGCACAGTCAGCCAAGTGAAAGCCATACCTATATGTGATACTTCTACACATAGTGGATGTGGGTTTTCTGTGTGTGTGTGTGTGTGTGTGGCTTGTGAAAAAGAGAAACCACAGCAGGAATTTTAATAATTCTAATGCGAGCTCTGCGAGTTGTGCTCGATAGCAGCGGGAAATCGATAGCTCGCCTCCGCCAATCGAATGATTTACGCCGACAATCGGGGCAACCGTTTCCTCCTTTTCCGGATGGTGAATGGAGGAGTATCCTCCTCACGCATCATCGCCTCATTAGCGGGAATCGGCGACGAGGAGCGGCAAACTTTTATGCCACACACACTGGAAATTTAATGCGCAAAATTCATAGCATATTACCAACACTTCATTTCGAGCTAGCCGACTTTGGCCCGGCTGGCTGTGTTTTTGGCAATAAATTCGACGAGAATGGGAAAAATCTGAATGGGCGAGGACAAACTTTTGTTGCTTAAGTAAACTTGAAAAGTTTCAAGACATAAAAGTTTGTTGTGAAAGTCACACGAAAGTTGAATGCAATAAATCTGCACGTTGCTGCCACCAAAGCGAACCGAAAAAGGCATCTCTCTAAAATTGTGCAATGCGCTGGCTGTTCGTCGTCGCTCTCTGTTCGCTGCTCCCGGGCCAAATCCGTTAAAACCCGTTAGCATTTGCCCACCAAAAAGTGCAGAAAAAAAATAATAAAAACGGACAAAAAACCATAAAAAAGAATTCACTGAGAGCTGGGCAGGCAAAAAAAAAAAAGAAGAGATGAAAATGGCAAAGGGATGAGGAAAACTTTCAGCGCATTCTTGGCTGATAAATGGCCAGCGAAATCTTGAAACACAGGCGCAGATTTTCAGCAGTCCGAATACGAGTACTATATGGTATATATAATACATTCCGTGCCACGTCGCCGGCAGAACTGCAATGCAGGATGGCTCTTGACCACTTCAGAATGCCAAATGGCCAGCGGTGTTGGCCGTGTGTATGTGCTAATTATTATTAAGGCCAGGCCAGAATGGCCCAGGTGCGTGGGAATTGAGAATTGCCCGGCGAGATTCTGTTGTGCCAGCAAGCGGGAAACCGGGCTGCTTATTAAAAGTTATCCGGCACACATGTTAGCGGCAACTGCAACTGCCACAAACTTGGGGCGCTGCAAGGCAATCAAAAGTTGGCAACACTGCCGTTATATGGCTGACAATTGAGTCGGGGCATTTAAGCAGCCACCATGGAATGGCTTTAATTTTCACGGGCCATAACGATGGCGGTAACCCAGTTAGAAAGCCAAAAGTGTCCTTGTGCCACATGCAAAATAAAAAGAAAATAAAGCCCGGCTAACGTACGACTGCAAAATCTTGGCCGTAACTAGTGAAAGAGTGGATTCGTTGGGGCAGGCTTAAAATGCAGTCGAGCCCCAACACCCCCGAAACTTCCCCTCGTCCCCAGTCAGGACTCCTTTATGCCAGGACTCTCTTTTTATCATTATGTGGCAGTTGCGGCTTAATTGCAATGAAAGCGCACGGCTTCCTTCAGCAATTTGCGGTGCGGCCGAGACTTAATCACATGAACGACACGGCGCCACATAAACTTAATCTCAGCGAAAGGTGAGCGATGCAGGACGAAACAGGAAGGACCTTTTTTCCCTCCCTGGCCTCCCATTATAAATGCCATGCCGAGCACATATTTCCCTTGATTATTATTTTCACCATCGATGCACGATGCAGGATGCACTTTTCCCCTCCGTTTTTCTACGAGAGTTTCTGCCGCAAGCTTAAAGCTCGCTTCTTCAACTAATTAGCCTCGTTTAAGTTACAGTTTTCAAAAGTTAAACACGCTCACAGACGCAATTAGCAAGCTTACCGAGTTTATGAAAGTTTTGCCAACACTCCTGCCGCCTTTTTGCAGCTAATTAATTTGCCTCGCCGACAGGCGCTTCACGTTGACGCGAAAAGTGATTGTGACAGTGACAGTGCCAGTGAGAGTGGCAGTCGGTCACAGTGAAGCGGTCACGGGGTAAATGTGCTGCCGAATTATGCATTATACACAGAAATTAAAAACACAGCTCTTGCATTGATAATTTTTATGCGGTCCGCCCGTAATTGGAAAAGTTTTCCCATTTTAATTAAAACATTTGACTTAATGCAAAATGCAGCACAACAAAAACGACGAACAGCAGCACGACCACCACGAAAACGAAAACAGCCAAACAATGGGAAAAGTTGCGCCTGGCGAAAATGTGCTGGACATTTTGAATGACTTTGCTTGGCTGGCCAAGTGCAACGCATCGCTCATACGCCCTGTGTGCGCTTGCCCGCCCGATGGTTAATTATGAATTGCCTGTAAGAGCGGAGTGCGCCAACAGTGGCAACCATAAACATTTAACACATTGCTCATACGCAACACATAACACTAGCAACACTCGCAACACTCACATTACCCATACGCCCTGTGTGACACTCAATATGTTTGCCATCAGGAGGAAAACAGATCTCTGCTCGACTTCAGCTATGTTGGCCACATTCCGGCTTTCGGATTCCGCTCGCAGCTTATGCGATTTAGCCGACAAGACAAATAGTTCCATGTAATTTGCTTGTATGTCAAACGACTCGCATATGTCAAATGTCAAACGCTGTCCCACAGCCATTTTTCTCCATCTCGGCCCGGCTTTTCCCCCCCTTCCCCCATTTCTCCTTGCCTCGTTTTGGGTGCCGACATGTGCGAGTTTTGCTGGCGAAGTTTTGCAAACAATAAATTACTATTACAATGACAATTCCACCCGCAGTTCGCAGTCGAGCATTTTTCACGCTTCGGTTACATTTCCGCTTTCGCTGCGAAACATATTTCACTCCTCGCCACTTGCAGCACTGATCAATGCGAGATCACGTTCAGATTCTTTGGCATTAGCTGGCTAAGGCCAGTGCAAAAAGAGCTGGCTGAAAACAAAAACAGAGTCCAGCCAGCTGGCTGGATTAACACTTGAGTTCCTGCCACTGAAACAAAAAAAAAAAAAAAAAGAAACGAGGAAAAATCCAAGGCAAATAAAGCAGCAGCCCAGACACATCGACTTGCGCTAGACTGGGCAAAGAAAATATTGTTCCTGGACCCCTGAACTCCATCCATCCTGTGGATAATGCCGAAATGTCAAAGCTTAAAGTCGGACCGGAGTTGAGTCTGTGGGCCTCCGGTAATGCTGTGTTTTCTGGCCGGGCTGTGTTTTAATCAGTCAGCAGACGTCAGAAGTAATTAAG